GTTAGCATTAATTCTACCACTCCTTAGCAAAAAAATGAACAATAGACAAGAGGAAGGAACTTTAATTAACAAATTTCAATTTTTGTTAAGTATGGGTAGAAATAAGTATGTCATATGATTAAGGATGAACATATCAATGTCAGTAATTAATAATAGAGCCCATCAGTTGTACAAATAGAGGTGAACATATCACAGAAATAGTTGAACCAAATGGACAAGTCTACAACCTTATAATGTATAAACAATGGTTTTTTCTTGTTTTCTTTCTACCAATAAGTAAGACAAACAATAATATTTAGCTCCATGTTCATCAGTTTTGCTTGACTAACTTGGTTGATTTGCTTTGTTCTTAAAAAAAAAAAAAAAAAAAAAAAAAAAAGGTACTTCAAACAAATGGCATAAAGGTAATACAGGGATCGTCACAGAACGATGGAGCATGGAGCCTCTGGCTAAGTACACAAATTTAAGCATCTAAAATGGCAGGTCTTTCGGTGAACAACTTGTTGAAAGATATAAAAATTGAAGAGAGAAATTAAACATGCATAACACAGCTTAGTATCTACAATCCAATGCTAATTTATCCAAAATAACCATCTTTATAAATTAAAACAAGTAATCCCTCAATTAGGTCCACAAATAAGAACCTTGAAAATGGGAAAGGGACAAAGCCCCAAATAATTGATCAAGGAGAGAAATTAAATACCTAATAATTCACGAGTTAATACCAACCTTTTATTTTTTGAAGACAGTCATTCCCATTCTCAACTTAAGACAAAGATAGGGTCGGCTTAATTGGACTGGGGGTATAGAGTATGTAATTCCTTTGCCATTCATCTGCCAAACAATCCTTTTGGCAACCAGAATCCTGCACCCTTGCTTTCATGATATCTATATTCAACAGTGCCCTGGAGACACGATCAAAGCATGCCCGCCCAGTGTGCTTTTTTCATGCCATGCTCTGGTCCCAGGTGTCTTTCACAGTCACCCTCACCCCATTAGAGATAGGGGTCGTATTTCTTGTGGTAGTAATTGCGAACAACTCTCCTCTTCTCTTAGCTTGCATGCCTTCTTAGGCAACTCACATATGACAGTTGTGTGTGTTGCTCAACTACCAAAATAATTCATGGAAAAGATTGAGAAGACGCTGGAATCTTATAACATTTTCTGACGTTTCTAGAAAATTACGTACATTAATTGCTGACAGTTTCATGGGTGGTCATGCAAAATTAACAAGACAAAAGCCCATGCAGAAGTGGCCAATATGATTAACCAAGTAACCAACATTTTTTTTTTTTTTTAACCAAAAAAAATGTTGCCGAGTATGGACATACTGTTTAAAGGCCATGCAAAAATGGACAATGTGACAAACAACCCTTCAAAGGTGTTATAACCTAACCCTAATTTTCTTTCCTATAAATTCCCTCCACAGACCAGAATTTATTTAAAGATGAATTCTGAATTATTACGAGTTCATATAGTTTGGTAAATATCTTCATATGTTGAATGTTTTATGTAGTTTTAGTGTTTAAAACATACTAGTTTTGCAATATTTTCCCAAAAGATTAAATAATGCACAAAATGGTAGTTTTCACAAAAATTGATCCCATGGTTTTTAATGTAACAGAGGTTCTTCCTTGCTGGAAACCAACTGAAGCAGCAACCGGGAAACTTATACGGGCAACGATGCTTTGGCAACAATATTTTCCAAGCTTTTTTAATGTCAAGATTCTGGCTGAGGCTTTCAATGTAGACACTGAGACTACAATGAAGCCACTGAACAAGAACGATAGGAGAGGAAACATCGCGGGGGTTGGAAATGGCTTGGAGGAGACCATTTGCAACATGAGGATCCAAGAGTATATTGATGACTCAGAGTGCGCTGACGTATACTCTGCTCGCGGTGGACATATAAGCAAACTTAACAGCCAGAACCTTCCCATTTTGAGACATCTCCAATTGAACGCTGAGAGAGGAGTACTCTACAGGGTAAAAGATACATTCTCTGCGAGCATTTAAATACAGTATGGGGTTTCCATTTTATGAATAATAGAAAATTCTAAAAGGGGTCATTAGTTCAGACTGACAAATATGGAATTACAAGTTTGAATTCTGAGAGCCTGTCACTTCATATTAAATAATATTATTTACATCAGGCTCAATTCTTCCCTCCCAGCACTCTGCAAAAACAGGAATATACATTGATGAACTAAAAGAATATCATAAATTAATGGTCCAAGACATTCATTATCAAAAATGCTTTCCTATGATTAACAATGCTATCTTTGGTGCAGAATGCCTTGGTAGCTCCTCATTGAAACATAAACGCAAACAGCATGGTGTACGTGGTAAGGGGATATGCTGGCATTCAGATCGTCGGGAATTCTCAGAGGCCCGCCTTTGATGGAGAAGTACATGCTGGACAGTTGCTTATTGTTCCACAGAACTTTGCTGTGGTGACAAAAGCTGGGAACCAAGGCTTTCGAGACTAATGACTTTGCAAAGACCAATCCTATCGCTGGAAGGACATCGGTTATCCAGGGAATGCCAGAGGATGTCCTAGTCCATTCCTATCTGGTTTCTAGAGATGAAGCAAGGAGGTAAAAGTATAACATAGAGGAGGTGACTGTCCTTAGTCCAAGGTCTACCTAATATGCTGTCTGGTTTGATAGCTTCTTATGTACGAGGAAAAAAACTAAGTGGACTAGTTAAGAGGTTGATAGGTAACACTACATTCTTTCACAAAAAGTTGAGATTAATACTTTTAATTTGTTTCCGAATATACACTCTAGCTAGCTCTGAAAGGAAAAATGAACAAAAAAAGAAGGCTTGCATTAATTCTACCATTCCTTAGCAATGAAATGAAAAATAGATTAGAGAAAGGAGCTTTAATTAACAAATTTCAACTTTTGTTGAGTATGGGTAGCAATCAGCATGTCATATGATTAAACATAAACATATCAATGTCAGTAATTAAAAGCATATCACATAAATAGTTGAATCAAATGAACAATTCTACAACCTCATAATGTATAAACAATGGGTTTTAGCTCCTTGTTCATCAGTTTTTCTTGACTAATTTTGTTGATTTGCTTTGTTCCACAGAAAAAAAAGAAAAAAGAATAAAAAAATAAATAAAAAATGGCAGGTCTTTCAGTGAACAACTCAGTATCTATATTCCAATGCTTATTCATCCAAAATAATCATTTTATATGAAAAAACTACAAGTAATCCCTCAATGGGGTTCAGAAATAAGGATCTGGAAAATGGGAAAGGGACAAAGCACAAAATAATTAATCAAGGAGAGAAATTAAATACCGAATAAATAATTCGCGAGTGAGTTGTATTAACTTCAATTTCTAGGGCATAAACAATATATTAGCTGAATTACCTCGTGGTTCAAGTCGCTCTGAAGGATCATTTTAGCACCAAAAACACCCTTCGATGAATATTAAAAAACTTTCCTTCCTTTTTCTGTCAATTTCAATGTTTATTTTCCCCCCCCCCAAAAAAACAAAAAGGTCAGTGCTCGAATTTTATTTATATTGAAATAAATCTACCATTCACCGCAGGTGTTCGCGTGGCCTAATGGATAAGGCGCTCGCCTCCGGAGCGGGAGATTATGGGTTCGAGTCCCATCGTGAACGAATCTTCCTTTTTTTTACTGTCCCTTTCCCTTGTATGGCTGGCTTATATGTATATATAGATAAATAATTTTTGAGCTGAATGTCTGTAAATTTGTATATATTTAGGTAAGGCTATAGTTCTGGAAAGTAACAATCCTCCTACCTCTGAAAAATAAATCTTAACCATTGATGTTAATGACAATCCAAACCATTTATACTCTAAAAAACTACAAATTTGGTGAGAAGTTTTTAAAGGTGAGCGAAGGGAAACTAGACAAATGAAGTTTTGTATGTTGGGAATTTAAGAGTGAGTGAGTGAAACAAGGCATATGATAAAGCTTTGTACCTTGGAAAAAGAAATTTTGGGCAAATTTACACTAACCATTTTTTATTTTTATTTTTTCCCGGAACAAGGATACAAGGAAAACAGAGAAGCCCAAAACAGAGCAACCCAAAAAAGAAACAACTTCACCCAGGAAGAGGATGAAGGTCATTGTGAGAGGAGCCAACTAGGCCAAATATCCCAAGACTAACCATTGAAAATGGTCTTTTTCAGTTATAATAGGAGGGCTTGCCTGCATTTATTGTGTTTGTACTTTTGTTGTTAATGTTTAATGAAAGCATACCTAGAAAAAATATATATATATATATTCAATTAGAAAATTTTATCCAAATTACTTAATAAGTAAAATAGGATTAATTAAGCGGAATTGAAATTATAAATGCAAAATTGTTTCTAAACATAAAACGCTAAACTCAATTGAACAACCCAGTTGGAATAGTTATGAAAATTCAAAACTCTTTTGTGACTAACCAAGTCGAATTAAATGAGTAAAAAATAGTGAAATAGCAACATTTTTTTGCTTGTGGGATGAATGAGGTTTTCACAGTTTATTTAATAATTTGACTTAGTTACTAACACAAATATGCTGAGGATGTGTTTGGCGGGATTAAATTTTTTAAATTGAAATTGGTAGAATTTAAAAAAATAACTAAGAAAATTGAACCAAAATTTTTTCGAATTCTACCAATTTTAATTTCAAGGCTCAAATTCTATGAAACCGAACACACCCCAAATATCTATTTTGTTGGAATGTGCAGCATTACGTACTTTTAGTGATCTTTATAATTTTTATCAGAATAATGATTTTTTTTTTTTAGTGATATTGGCGCATGAGCATGAACATGGACCAGCTAGCATTACACCAATTTGACACATTCACAATTAATGTCAAACTAGACATATTATTTATTTCATCATAATAAGTAGTACCTCATTACAAGCCTTGGCAAGCCTCTTGATTAGTTCACTTGGTTACGGAGTACTTATTTTCTCATACATAAAACACCTAGCAAAACAAACAAAGAGGTAGCTTATTACTCCGTATAAGGCCCTTGTCCTCGAGAGGAAGTAGACCTTGGACTAAGGATGGTCACCTCCTGTCTGTTATACTTCAACCTCCTTGCTTCGTCTCTGGAAACCTGATAGGCATTCATTAGGACCTCCTCCGGCATAGCCCGAACCACCGATGTCCTTCCGGCGAGAGGACTGGTCTTTGCCAAGTCATTTGTTTTGAATGAAATCCATTCAAAACCTTGGTCCCGAGCTCTCTTCACAACGGCAAAGTTCTGCGGAACAATCAGCAGCTGCCCTTCGCGTACTTCTCCATCAAAGGCGGGCCTCTGAGAGTTCCCGGAGATCTGAATGTGAGCATTTCCCCTTATCACGTACAGCACGCTGTGCGCGTTTATGTTCCAAAGAGGTGCTACCATGGCATTCTGCAACAAAGTTGATCACATTGTTAAATAAACGATGTCTCTATTCCATTATCTGAGACAGACATAAACATTATTTTATACAAAGTGATTGTTCTTCATTTTCTATTGTTGCTCACTAGGAATTTGTGTCTTACCCTGTAGAGATTTCCTCTCTCAGCGCTGAGTTGAAGATATCTCAAAATGGGAAGGTTGTGGCTATTGACAGTGCTTATACGGCCACCACGAGCTGAGTACACGTCGGCGCGCTCTGGGTTAGCAATGTTCTCTCGGATTCTCATGCTGCAAATGGTCTCCTCCAAGCCATTAACATTGTATCTCCCTCTTTCTCTTTCTTCTCTTCTTTCTTCTTCTTCTTCCTCCTCGAACCTTGGCCTTACCAATTGAAGCCCTTTTTCGACCCTCACAATGTTTCCTCTCCTATCGTTCTCGTTCTGTAGCTTCCTTGCGGTCTCAGGGTCTACATTGAAAGCTTCCGCCAGAATCTCAACATTAAAAGCTTGGAAAATATTGTGGCCGAAGGGGCGTTGTTGTTGTCCATACAAGCTTCTTGGTTGCTGCTCTTGTTGGTTTCCGGCAATGAAGAATCTCTGTTACATTCAATAACAAGTGATCAATTATTGTGAAAACCACCATTTTAATTGTGCATTATTGCAAAGCACTAACTACACAAAACATTCAAATTTGTGTTGGTTTCTTACCCTGAGTCTCTGATCAAGCTGGTTGGCATCGTTGTTGGTGTCATGAACCACAACGAGAACAAGATGGTTGTTGCCGTCATTGTAGCACCAATGGGCAATTCCGGCCGGCAATGCAACGATATCTCCTTGGCGGATACGTCGGACCTTTTGGTGCTGGTCCATTGACCTCTGAGATGATCTTCCTTCCTGAGTTTGCTGGAAAGATTGGTAGGTTTCTGGGCAGCCAGGACATGTCATCCCTAGTAGGCCTTGACCTGTTCATAAGTAGCAAGTTATATATAAATGGTAAATATATATATGGAAATGAGAGTATTGAAATTCAGATAAAATGTGATTAAGGTCTAGCCTTGAAGAACATAAGCTAGCATGGGAGCATTGTTGAAGGAGGGCAAGAGGAGGCCTCTTGGATCAATAACATGACGAGTGGCTGCCACGCCGGCACACTGCAACTGGTCAGTGTTCTGGTCCCATTCTTCGGTAACACCGGCCTCATGCTGATAGCGGCGAACAGGGTCAAGGGGATTGAGGTTCTGGACGCGGCATTCGCCCTGTTGTTGCTGCTGTGATCGGGAAGATTGGCGTTGAGCTATTTGAGCTTGACTGCCATGGCATATAAGGAGAATGCAGAGAGTGACGGTGAGCAAAGATGAAGAGGTAGTCATGGATGCAAGCAAAGTAAGAGGAGTGTCTTAATTTGAGGATGGTGAGACTGTGGTGTGTGTGGAGGGAATTTATAGGGAAGGAAAAGGAGGGTTGGGTTATAACAGGTGTGAGGGTTGTTTGCCACATTGTCATCTTCTGCATGGTTTTTGAACTGAAATGTGGATACGTTGCAATTTGGTTAATCAGGTGGCAATTTCTGCATGAGCTTTTGTCTTTGTTAATTTTGCATGACAAGTCGTGTTGCCGCGTATCAAAGAAGCATTCAAGAAACATTTGGTATATAGACTTGGAAGAGCTAAGTTATTCTGGTGGTGATAAATGATGAGGATCCTGAAGAGTGACAGTAACGCATGAATGCAACAGAACGACTTATTTACCTACCCACCACAAAATGATAAGACAACACAAGTACCCATTATCAGCCCATGGCCCATTATCAGCCCATGCGTTTTGTTTGGATGTATGGTTTTGATGTATTGCCTTGTAAATGATTACCATTGCTCAATGAGTCAATGGTTGAAGATTTGAGACTTTTTATTGAAGCATTGGGCTATATTTTGCTTGTAAGGGCTTCTTGCCTTTCACATTCTTTATGGTCCTACAACTTGGGTCTATGTACCGTTTCTTATTTATACAATTACTATTTACCTTTCAAAATAAAAAATCTTGACCATACTTGAAAATTAATTTTGATGTGAGACGAGTTCCACTTCTTTGTGCGGTTGTTTGAGGTCACATCGGGTCAAAAAATGAGTTTGGCTCTAATACTAACTGTTGGGACAGCGAAAATGTACAAACACAAAGATCGAAAGAAAGCCAACAAAACAATCACACAAACACAAAATATATATAGTTCAGCCAAAGCTGGTCCATGAGAAGAGATTTCACTTTCGTAAAGATATTACAAAAATAGAGTACCAACATCACGCACATGCTTTTTCACCATGTACAACTACACAAGCCTATCTCCTCGCTACCAGTGTCAGCAGTATTTTTTCTACTCTATCAACTAGTATACTACCTCTACCCATCAACTCCCTCAAGAGAGACTACGTCTCTCTCAATCTCATAAGTCTTAACTCACAACATATGTACCTATTTATAAAGTTAGAAACACAATTCCTATTCCTTAGAGGCTAAGACTTGCCAAGCAAAAAATTACCTAACGTAATACAATTATCTAAAATAGAATCCTAATTTGAATAAAAATTTGAGACACAATTTCCCACAATCTCTACTTAGCTCAAATTCCATTCGGCCAATCATCATTTCCGCGACATTGATGAAGGACAATTTTTTTACAGTTTCAATCTTGATGATACTCCTGCAAAACTCCGATTGTCCAAATTATACATTGCTTAATAAGTCAAACCTCTAAGGCTTCACCTTGACTACGCAAGCTCCATACCCATGTAACTAAGCCGATTGACTCCACCTACAACTGAAGCCCGTTGCAACACATGTTGATACTTCTTGTATTTTTTGGATTTCCTTTACCTTTGGCTCTGATACCAATTTGTTAGTTTTCTTTAGATATTTGTGTTTGTACGTTTCCACTGCCCCAACACCAATTGTAACAAAGTGGATGTTTCGTGATCTAGCCCAAAAGTTTAAGCTATAACGTTGAGGCTAACCCCCAACCCATATATACCCATTCGCTTCATCTGTCCGGATCCAATGTGAAACAAGTCCCCTTGTAATAGTAGTTCAGTTGGTAAAGGCAGCAATCCCCTAAATCGTGTGGGATTGCAAGTTTGACTCGCCTCATCCTTCCCTCCTTGACAAGTTAAGGAAAAAAAAAAAAAAAAAAAAGGAACTCATGAAATATTATCGAACTACTTTCAATTGTTTTTTGCAACTTTATTCGAGACTGTAAATGGTTTAACTTAGAAATTAATACAATGTAATTACAATTTAATAACCAAGGGCATCGTTGCATCTTCTCTGCCTTCCAAAATAGATTGCGAGGGTTCCGGTCCTCAAATGGGCAAAATGAGTGTATCATGTACGAATGAGGTGTGTGTTTTTTTGCTAATGACAAAATAATAAAAATACTACTACTACTACTACTAATAATAATAATAATTATAAATTGCAATTGAAAAAATTGGCTTGTATTTTAATGTTGTACAATGACATAATTTTGTCACCATCTAATATTCCATGGAGAAATTGCAGATTTAGACATTTTAAATAATTTTTTTTTTCTTGGTTAGTAAATAAATAAATAAATAAACAGAAAATAGAGAGAAAAAACACTAGGAGCATAACAATCCAAGGACATGGAGAAAAAACAAATAAAAGAGACACACAACCACCAGCTTAAATGAAAGAAGAGACTTAAAATTCAACATAACCAAGTAAATTTATCTAAGAATAGAGGCTGGAACATTCTAGGAGGGAACAACATAGATTATTCTGATATTCCCTAACCCATGAAAGTATTAGGGTCCTCTGGTTAGCTGCTACAAGACTGAAATAATTACTTTTTTATATTAAAAAAAATTTATTAGCTGAATTGGTTCAATCCTACACGCATAAATTGCCATACGTCAAACTTTCACAGTTTAACCTACAATAATAAGTACAGACTACAGAGCAGTGAACTTGGAGGATCCTTGTCCCCCATGAAAAGGGCTGCTGAGCTTACCTCTAAGTTCTAATAACATCCAAACGATGTCGTTCACCTTTTTTTTTTTCCTGATCTGCCCTCGCGTTTTTTCACTCGCGCGCGATTCTCTCACAGTATCGATCAAACTCCACCCAAATTGCAATGCGTCTCGGTTTTCTCAAACCCTAGCTTTCTCTTTGTTTACTGTTATCTGCATCAACAAGCTACTGTCCCTCAAATCTCCGTAAGTTTTAAATCTGGAACTCATATCTCTCAATCGCTTCACAAAATGTTATTTTTTCTTCTCAATTCTGATACTTCGTAAATAAGATTTCATTTTGCGGCTTAGGGTATTGATTTGCTTTTGAAATATCATTTCACAACTTGTTGCATTTTGAGGTTTTGGGCATTATCTTTCTGCTATCTCTGTATTGAGTGTCTGTTGGTGCATAAATTGTAAATTATTCAATATCAAGAATGGTTTCACAAACAATTACCTTGTTCTGCACGTTAAATTTAGTATTTCTTCATATATATATGTATATATATATATATTTCCCAGCTTGGTGTATTGTAAAATATTCAATAACAAGAATGGTTTCACAAACAATGACCTCATTCTGAGCACTAATCACTCACCTCTCTCTTCTATGCTAAATCCAGCTATATATATATATATATATATTTCAATTCTGTATCCCTGTATGATGCTTTACCTAGATAGAGTTTAAAAGCTTAATACTTGAATTTATCCAGTAAAATTTGTTTAGTTGTTAAGGGGTCCATTTGATCCAAGTCTATAGTCTATACCTATACCTCCTATTTGGGTTTCTAGAATTTTTTTTTTTTTTTCTTTTTTCCAAAGATTATGAAAGAGTACTTTGCGGTTAGAGTTTGATGCATGAATCTTAACCTGTTGATACCTGAAATTTTATATATATATATTTCAATTCTGTATCCCTGTATGATGCTTTACCTAGATAGAGTTTAAAAGCTTAATACTTGAATTTATCCAGTAAAATTTGTTTAGTTGTTAAGGGGTCCATTTGATCCAAGTCTATAGTCTATACCTATACCTCCTATTTGGGTTTCTAGAATTTTTTTTTTTTTTTCTTTTTTCCAAAGATTATGAAAGAGTACTTTGCGGTTAGAGTTTGATGCATGAATCTTAACCTGTTGATACCTGAAATTTTATGTTAAGGGAGTGTTTGGTCAATTAGGTGATGGAAATTTGTGAGGCGTGAATCTTAACCTGCTCCATGAGCATTGATACCTGAAATTTCATCAGGTAATGTATATTCAGAGGTGAGGGAGTGTTTGGTTGTTTAGGTGATGAAAATTTGATATCTTATACAGTGGAAATATAAAACCCACAAAAAAGATTTTCAGTATTGAAGGAGTGAACTTCACTATAAAGGCTAAAGGATATAGAAGTGCATTACTAGTTTCTATATCTCTTAAAATCCATTATGTGGAGATGATCAACCAAATACCGCTTTGGGCTATACTTCAAAAAGTGGCTTTCGTTGAAGGCTTCTAGAGTAAGGGAAGGCTCTTAGCCTCGCTCCTATCGTCTAGGAAGTCTAGGATTCCTTGCTTGCATCCCTTTGATAGCTTAGTATCTCCTCCTTGCCACTCTATTATGGTAAAAAGGACTGGAGTGATAATTTTTTTTTTTTTTTTTTTTTTTTTTTTTTTTTTTTTTCCTAGTTGGAACTCACACACACTTGTCTCTTCTGAGACTTGAACCTCTGACCTCCCTTTGAGAAGTAAGAGGCTGATACCGCTAGATCACTGGCCCGTTGGTGACTGGAGTGATAATTGTGTATACAAGTAAAGAACCTTAAACTCCTAATACGATGGGAGCAAGGCTGACCATTATAAGGCGGCTAAGGCAATCAATTAATCCCTTTCTGAAATAGATCTCCCTTCATTTGTCTTAGCTCATGGAATTGTAGCTCTTCCGCTATAGTAGCTCCTTTGATAGTAGCAATAGCGCTCCTGTAATAGCTAGTAGTTCTTCTGACAGTGGCTCGGTCGAATATATTCTATTAGAGCTAGCCAAGAGGTTAGCAGGAAGGTGATTTCGAGCAAGCAGTGCACATTAGAGAAGAGGGGATATGATGGCGGATAGGGGCTTTGGTAAGCAGCATTCCTTGTGTCTAGTCCTTATGGCGCCAGGAAGGTCAAGGAATAAAAACTTATGTATCACGGGCTCGGGTTCGTGTGTGGGTACCAGTATGTATCTATGTGTCAGATGTGTCAAATTTTCAAACAGAAGGACACTGCCAAATATTCATTTTATTAAATTATTCTATTTTATTTTTTAGAGTAATGTAATGTTTTATGTAACATAGTGTTCAATATAAGCATTTAATTCATTTTAAAGTAATAATATAAGAAAATTGAATGATTGGATATGCTTTTTAAACATATGTCTAACCAAAAGTGTTGGACATACATTTCATACTATATTCGAGCAATATGTGTCTGATACGGGTACTTCACTACCTTTGAAGAGTCCAGGTAACATCGGTAAAAACTTTTAGTTCAGGGGTGAAGGATGGATAATAGTAGTGTTAGGATGGATATCTGTTATGAGTGAATCTCTATGGCAATTTCTCTTTTGTCAAAAGGCCTGCAAAGCTATCTATATAGGTAGGTACTACGCCCTGTAATAAGTTTTTTTTATTAAAAAAAGGCTTTAGGCACTTCCTCTGTTTAAAGAGTGAATTCAGGAGTTAATGGCTGGCATTATAAGGATTGATTCCCTTCTTCCTTTAGAAATGGATCCCCCTTCTTTGTTTATCACTCTAGAGTATCTGGAAAATTCCTGCCTTTGACCAAAAAGAGTCACTTAACTGAAAAGACACAGTGAACCAAAGGACAAAACGCTACAAGAGAAAGTGCAGGAACAACGGAAGTTCAAAGCTTGCTTGAAAAAAAAAAGGCTTGCTTCCTTGTCCAGCAACATAGGTGGGAACTAGCACATTAGACCGATAACTGAACGGAAAAGATTCTCTCTCTACTACAGCACCTGCAGTGAGCCTCTCGCCCAAACGAAGGTCACCTTCACAAACTCCCGTAATCCGACTAAGCAAAAGAGGTCTATCTTATCCACATTCGTCGTCACTTCACTTATAATGCTACGTTTGGTATGCAGGAATGGAATGCCCATTCCAACCATTCCTTTGTTTGGTATGCAATTTAAACTAAGAATGGTCATTCCATTGGAATGAAAATCTATTCCGGATAATGAAAATCCATTCTACAACTAAACTTATAGAATGGCCATTCCATTCCCAAGTAATTTTTTTTTTTTTTAAAAAAAATTCAACTTCCCAAAAAACCCCCGTGTTCCAAGTCCAAAAACTACCACTACCTTCCACCACAACCACCTTCGCCTTTCACCACCACCACGACCACCACCACCGACTTCCACCACTACCACCACTGCCGTCATCGACTTTCACCACCGCCTACCTCTTTCCACCACCACCGCCACCACCTTCCACCACCCCTTTTCACCACAACAACCACCACCACCACTACCGCCACCACCTTCCACCACCACCACCACCACCACCCCCTTTCACCACCGCTACCGCATTCCACCGCTACCACCTTCCATCACCACTACCACCTTTCACCACCGCCATTGCCTTCCACTGCCACTACCTTCCACCGTCACCGCATTCCACCGCTACCACTTTTCATCACCACCACTACCTTTCACCATCGCCATTGCCTTCCACTGCCACTACCTTCCACCGTCACTACCTTCCACCACCACCACCGTCACCGCCTTCTACCATTACCATCACTATCACCACCGCCGCCGCCACTGCCTTCCACCACCGCCACCACTTCCACCACCGTCACTGCCTTCCACCACCACCACCTTCCACTATTGCCACCTCCACCTCCACTGCCTTTAGGGCTGCAAATGAACCGAGCTGTTCATGAACAGTTCGGGCTCGTTCGTTAAGTAAACGAGCCGAGCTCGAGCCCAATTTCTAGGCTCGTTTAATAAACGAGCCGAGCTCGAACAACATTAGGCTCGGCTCGTATGGGCTCGTGAACAAGACTCGTATAAGGCTCGTTTAGGCTCGTGAACAAGGCTCATATAAGGCTCGTTTATTAGCCATTTATAAGTTCTTGATCTAGCCCATATGTGTGAGTCCATTACAATTATACATGATAAGCCCATTTGAAAACTATTACTATAATCAAATAACAAAGCCCAAAAAAAATGGCCCATATTCATTTTAAAGACCCAACCCAACCCATTTATGTTAACAAACAAACCGTATTCTATATTTAAAGTGTTAGCCCATATAATACATTAGTTTAGCCCAACTTACATCCTTTCATTAGTAAGGCCCAAGGACTATTGGCCCATCATCAGATAAGGTTGCATCTTAGCCGTTGATTTTGGTACTCTTAAGTGATAGAATAAACCCTAAAGAAAACAGTTTCACCACGTATCATCTTCATAGCTTCACCAAATACATGCGCCGGAAGCCCTCACAAGCAACAGAGCTTCGATAAACTCCAACGTATAATCCGCTGGCATCCCTCCATAAGCCACTTATTCCTCCACTCACCGCTGTCATCAGAGGAAGGCTTACAGTAAAAACCTTGTAAGATCTAATTTTAACTTCTTTATTTGTTTTTTTTTTTCTTCTGTTTTTTTTCTTTTTTCTTCTTCTTGGAGATTGAGATCTGATCTCGTAAAAGAGAGCATGTTTAGTTCTTTTCGTGAATCAGGAACTAATTCTACAACTTTGGAATTTTAACTTCTTTGTTTGTTTTTTTTCTTCTGTATTTTTTCTTTTTTCTTCTTCTTGGAGATTGAGATCTGATCTCATGAAAGAGAGCATGTTTAGTTCTTTTCTTGAATCGGGAATTAATTCTACAACTTTGGGTATATGCGCTGTTGTCAATTCTTTGCCTTCTTCTATGGAAAATTGACTAATTGCGTAAATATGCCCTTTGATGACATCCCTGTTATGTAGAGTTGGGAAGCAAAATTTGGAGGGTGTATGTAACCGAGTCCGACCTTCTCGAAAATCTACCGAGCTGAGCTCGAGCTTGGCTTAGCGAAGCTCGCTCGATCTCGAGCCGAGCCCGAGCACCTTTCTGGGAGTGGCAAGCTGAGCCTGAGCACCTTTCTGGGATTGACGAGCCGAGCCTGAGCAACCTAAAGCTCGGCTCGGCTCAGTTCATTTGCAGCCCTAACTGCCTTCTACCACCACCACAATTACCTCCATTGGTTTCCACCACCGTCACCTACACCATTATCACCTTCCACCACCACCACCACACTACAGCCACCGCTTTCCACCACCACCACCACCACACTACAGCCACCGCTTTCCACCACCACCACCACCACTGCTGCCTTCCACCACCACCGTCGCCACCGCCTTCTACCATTGCCACCATCGTTGCCTTCAACACCACCACCTACACCACTACCGTTTTCCACCTCCACCACCGCCACTGCCATTATTTATTTTAAAAAAAAATTATAGAAGAATATCATTTTGTTAATTTAATTTATTTATTACTAAGAGGGCTATTTTGGAGAACTCAATTTGAAATTTATTCCATTCTAAACTTTAAATTGGTCTAACCAAATACTAGAATGGTTATTATCATTCCATTCCTACACATTTCATATTTACAACCAAACAATAGAATGAGAATTGCCATTCCATTCCCATTTTCATTCTATTCCCACTTGCATTCCATTCTATTACTGCACACCAAACGCAGCATTTGTGAACTTATAGAAACTCGCTACCGTAACAACACAGAAAGAGTTTTTCACTTTAAAGGCTACTCCTAACTTCTATGGTCTTAACACATAAACTTTCACTAGTACTATACCCGAAAGAAGATCAAAAATGCCAAAAGCATTGCTTGACGACTTTCCATCAGTCGCTTACCTTACGACATACTGAATCAATCATTTCATGTTAACTGAATCAATCATTGTTGGCTTTTTCTCTGATACCACTTTGTTGACTTTTACTTTGATACCACTTTGTTGGAAATAAGTGGCCGAACTAGAGACACACACACAACACAATAATATGGAAGAGGAGTTGATGAAAGAAACACTTAGAAATATCTTATATTCTACTCATACTATTTCATCTTATTCTCATTATAAAATTACTAGAGTACATGAGTTTATATAGACTCCAAGAACATAAATATTTATCAATTACATATGAATGTTCATAACTCCAATTACTCCCACTAACATAACCTTTAGAAGACACATCTCCCACTAACATGACTATTTATAGCATAACTCCCACTAACATAGTATTTAGGAGGCTTAATTCTCATACCTCTTGGTTAAGTAACCTTCTCCATCAAGACCATTTACTACCCCACTAACATGAAATGCACACATGCATATGTATACCAAATACTTGAAAATACTATTTAATACTAAAATTCTAAAATCAAGTTTATTTCCAACAATCATTTCATGTTATTGTTTTTTTCCTGGGCATTGATTTCTTCCTGTATAGCATCTTTCCAGCAAGAATGATTGGAGGCTTCAGCCAATGATTCAGGTACATATACCTTGCTCTGTTTGGAAACAAACTAGCTGCCTTATTTTTAGCATTGCTTGATCACTTCTTTCAATTTCAAAATTGCTAAACGTCACAATTTCAATGTGGTACAAATTAAGAATGACATGACTGCAATGAGTCTTAAACATAAAATCTCACCTCCACTATGCTTACCATTAGGGGCGTAGGAGATATTTGAAAATCACTACTTCCAATTTTTGTTATGTCCTCTGATGACAAAAAAGATGATAAATTGGTTCGCTTAATTGGGGGTTTGGTATCACTATCACCACTAATCTCCTGCAATAAATTCTCCCAACACTTGCTTTGTTAGAATCCTCTACAAAAATTCATTGATATAATCGTCATCTGAAATTGCCAGCAGCTAGGCTCTAGTCCTTTTCAAGTTTTTTTTTTTCAGCCTCTAGGTTTTGTTTAAGCTTTTCCAACCTATAGGGTTTGTTTCAGCTTTTCCTTGCTGTACATTCTTTCATGCAATATACTAACTTACCTTAACCAATAAAGAAATAAAATAGAATCAAGCTTTCGATTGTTCAGGTTCTGACTTGCTTAGCTTAGAAGCTTGTTCAAGCTTGACTCGGGATAAACTTGGTTAAGTCGGTTAGTTTGGGCTGGCAATTTTTGGTCAATCATGGGCTCGACTCAAGCTCATTTATATATAAATACACGCAAATATATATATAATCACCCATATATATAATACACACGTAGAGATCTAATATATATTAGATACACAATCTATGAAAGATCCATAACATTTTAAAGGATGACTCTTATGTAGATTGGAAAACCCTCCCAACAAAAGCCTCCTAGTACAGTTTTATTTCTCAGACATACATACCTAGCTACTTCTTAATTAGTACACGTAGCTTTTCTCTCATACATAAAAAAAACTCTCACACCAAACAGCTTATTCCACAATGGCCCAAGCAGAATGCCTTTCTTGAGAGGTAGACCTCGGACTAAAGACAGTCACCTCCTCTCTGTTATGCTTCAACCTCCTTGCTTCATCTCTTGAAACCTGATAGGCATGGACTAGGACATCCTCTGGCAATGCCCGGATAACCGATGTCCTTCCAGCTAGAGGACTGGTCTTTGCAAGATCATTGGTCTTGAATGAAATCCATTCAAAGCCTTGGTTCCCAGCTTTCTTCACTACAGCAAAGTTCTGTGGAACAATCAGCAGCTGACCAGCACGTACTTCTCCGTCAAAGGCGGGCCTCTGAGAGTTCCCGACAATCTGAACCCGGGCATTTCCCCTTATCACGTACAGCACACTGTGCGCATTTATGTTCCAATGAGGTGCTACCAAAGCATTCTGCATCAAAGTTAACATTGTTAAACATTAGTGCTAACGACTAAGCATTATTGATTTTAATGAGTGTCTTATTCCATTAATGTATGATATTCTTAGTGCATCAATTTAAATCCATTTTATGCATGGAAGAATTGACTCAGATGGGAAATAAATATTATTTTATATAAAGTGATTACTCTCAAACTTCATACTTGTGATACCATATTTGTTAGTTTGAACTAATGACCACAAATAGAATTTCTTATTATTTATAAATGGAAACCTCATGTTGTTTGTAAATGCTTGCTAAGAATGTATCTCTTACCCTATATAGATTTCCTCTCTCAGCGCTAAGTTGGAGATGTCTCAAAATGGGAAGGTTGTGGCTGTTGACAGTGCTTATGCGACCACCACGAGCTGAGTACACATCGGCGCGCTCTGGGTTAGCAATGTTCTCATGGAGCCTCATGCTGCAAATGGTCTCCTCCAAGCCATTGTATCTCCCTCTTTCCCTTTCTTCTCTTCTTTCTTCTTCTTGTTCTTCTTCAAACCTTGGCCTTATCAATTTAAGCCCTTTTTCGACCCTCACGATGTTTCCTCTCCTATCGTTCTGGTTCTGTAGCTTCCTTGCAGTATCAGGGTCTACATTGAAAGCCTCGGCCAGAATCTCTGCATTAAAAGCTTGGAAAATATTATTGCCGAAGTGTTGTTGTTGGCCGTACAAGCTTCTTGATTGTTGCTCTTGTTGGTTTCCGGCAAGGAAGAACCTCTGTCAAATTAAACAAACAAGAGATCAATTGTTGTGAAAACTACCATTTTGTGCATTACTTAAATTCGAGGCAAATATTGCACTCAAAAGATTTAGTTTTGGGAAAAAAATATACCAAAGTTTGTAAAATTTTAATACTTAGATCATAGTTTTGACAAGATAAATGGGCTTATTCTGGCAGGTTGCGTTGGTTTCTTACCCTGAGTCTCTGATCAAGCTGGTTGGCATTGTTGTTGGTGTCATGAACTACCACGAGAACAAGTTGGTTGTTGCCGTCATTGTAGGACCAATGGGCTATTCCAGCCGGCAAGGCAATGATATCTCCTTGGCGGATACGTCGGACCTTTTGGTGCTGGTCCCTTGACCTCTGAGATGTTCTTCCTTCCTGAGATTGCTGGAAAGATTGGTAGGTTTCTGGGCAGCCAGGAATCATGGTGCCGAGTAAACCTTGACCTATTCATATATAGGTAACAATAAATGTCAAGGATATAGAATTCATATTAAATGTCAAGAATATGTGATTAAGGGCTTGCCTTGAAGAACATAGACTAGCATGGGAGCATTGTTGAAGGACGGCAAGAGTAAGCCTCTTGGCTCAATAAGATGACGAGTTGCTGCCACGCCGGCACACTGCAACTGGTCATTGTTCTGGTCCCATTCTTCCGAAACGCCTGCCTCGTGCTGGATGCGGCGAGCTGGTTCCAGCGGATTGAGGTTTTGGACACGGCATTCGTTCTGTTGTTGTTGCTGTGATCGAGAAGATTGGCGTTGGGCTAGGCTGTCGTGGCCTAGAAGGAGAAGGCAGAGAATGATGGAGAGCAAAGAAGAGTTGGCCATGGACATGTATGTACAAATTAAGAAGCGTGTCTTAATTTGTGGTTTGATGATGGCGAGACTGTTGTCTGTGGAGGGAATTTATAGGGAAAGAAAATGAGGGTTAGGTTATAACAGGTGTGAGGGGTTGTCTGTCACAATGTCATCTCTGCATGGTTTTTGAACTGAATGTGATACGCGGCAATTTGGTTAATCAGGTGGCAATTTCTGCAGGAGCTTTCGTCTTTGTTAATATTGCATGAGAAGTGGTGTTGCCGCGTAGCAGAAGAAGAATACAAGGAAGACCTGGTGGTGTTGGTAATGTCTGATAAGAGTGATAGTTACACATGAATGCAACAAGACTAACACATTTACCCACACGACGACAAGATAAGTAATGTACCCATATCAGCCCATGGGTTTTTGCATTTGCTTAATGGGGTGCCTTTTGGTGGCTTCGGCTGCATTTTACCAATATACTTTGCTTGAATGTAATATATTTGTGTCTACTAACTTAGAAGTATTCGAATCTGATAATCTATTAGATTAATAGATTGGATTTGCATTATGATAAATCAGATCTGACCAGATATAGTACATAATATCTTATTATGTATTTTTAATTTTTGTAATGTTGATAAATAAATGAATCTAAAAATGTCATGCATGTGATAAATGTAGATCAAGTAACTTGGATTTGGATTGGTTAATGAATAATTGCAGCTTACCGGAATTGGAACAAATTCTGCAAAATCCCGACCAATGTCCGATTTGTTGACATGCATGTCTACCAACAAGCTTCACAATCAGGAAAAAAATAATAATAAATAAAAAAACAAGCTTAACAATTGTAGTAAATGAAATATTTATAAAAGAAAAAAAGAAAGAAAAGAGGTGATCTGCGTGTGTGGGATATTATATATATATATATATATATATAAAAAGAGATGAAAGAAAAGAAGTGATCTAGATTGGTGCGTTGCTCGTAAATAGGTGGTGGTGTGCAGGGGGGAGCCAGTGTTTACTCAGGGGGCAGTTGCCCCCTCTGACCTGGCTTGGCCCGCCCATTATATATAGAGAAATTTTTTTTAATTCTATATATGTATATATAGAATTTTTTTATATAATGCTCCTCTGAAATTATTAATTTTTAAAATCATTTCTTATTTTTCTAATTTTTTCCTAATTTACTCTTCAAATTCCTTAAAAAAAAGTTAAATTTTGTTTGTTAAATTAATTTTAATTGTTTCCTTTTTAAGTTGTCATTTTTCGTATTATTATTATTTTTTCTTTTTTCTTATTTTTTTTCCCTGCAACTCCTTTAAATAATAATAATAATTATTATTATTTAACATTGTGCCCCTCCTAAACTAAAATCATGGCTCCACCCCTGGTGGTGCATTGCTAGTAAATAGGTGGTGGTGTGTTGCTAGAAAATAGGTGCTTCATTTAACTTAGATTGATAAGGGCAAAGCAGACTTACGTCAAGATAATCTTTTTTTGAAACACTTTGGTAGTGCTCCTGGATCAAAATCAAAATAGTGAATCAGAGCGCATGAAGTCATCTGAGAAGAAAAAAAAAAAAAAAAATTAATAATAATAATAATAATAATAATAATAATCATATTTTTTCTAGATAGAAAGTTTGAAGAAGGAAAAAAATTGAATTTATGTGCATTGTGTAGTGATTGGAAGACAGAGTAGTAAAAACCATAAACCTGAAAATTTACATACCTAAAAAGTGTAGAACGGCAAATCGGATGGCCCCTCTTCATTTTCCTCCCATTTTCTCCTCATCCTCCTCCTCCTCTTCTCTATGGCTTTCTGATCTCAATCAGTAGTGCTTAAGATTTTGACTTCTCTATGGCTTTCTGATCTCAATCCGTAGTGCTTAAGATTTTGACTTTTGAGTTTTGAATGAATATATATATATATATATATGGGACTCCTCTCAAAGAAAAAATTACAAATTTGACATATCCCTCCTGACGCGTGTTCAATCATAACCAACAATAAATCAAGTAAATAAATGAAAAAATTAAATGCAGTCAACCTCTAAGCATTATATATAGGAACCCCCTTGAGTTATTATGTATGGTTTATTTTTATTTTGTCTAATTTTGGTAATTAAATGAATAAAAAATGTCATTCGCATGTATGGTAGATCAAATAACTCAGATTTGGATTGGTTAATGAACAATAATTTAGAAGTTAAGATACTTCTTGATTGTATTTGATGCGTGCTTGGTTGTGCCCATCTAAGATGTGTTTGATATGACCACGACAATCTTTCTATGAGCACTTGTACTTTCTTAGGCAAAGATGGATTCCATTATTTTGTGATGTGACATTTTATGTATTTCAAAACTTGAAATGACACATTTATTAAACCAGTAAAAGCACGCGTACGTAACGCACGTGCGATGCACATGAAATTTGGGGCTTAAATGAGTATTTGGAAAATAAAAATAGATGGGAAAAAAAATATAAGCGATGGTCTAGAATGGTGAGAGCTAGGACTTAGGAGAGACACTACTGGTGGTGTGTGTAGCGAGCTAGTAGACGATTTTTCAAGAGAGAAGAAGTTTGAAAAAGGAAAAATATTGAATTGAAGTGCATTGGGTAATAATTAGAATAATATGTGTAGGTTAGGGGTGCCCATGTGGGTATTTGGGTTTTATCATATTAGAGAATACGTGAAAATGGCTAAAAGAGATAATAGTAAAAACTCTAAACCTAAAAATTTACATACCTAGAAATGTATAACAACTGATTGGATGGTCTATCTTACTCCCTCCGTCCCACAATACATGTTCTGCATGTGAAATTTAACTTTTTATGGTAGTGGAGTTTTAATAATTTTTTATTGTATTGATAAGAGTGAAATTTCAAATATGCCCTCACTAAAAGACAAAATAGTGCTCCGTAATTAATGCAGTTGTTTAGTTAAAATGATAGTTTGGGAATGTTATAAAAAATAGTACATTCAATTTTGGAATAGGACGTGTTTTTTGGGACATCCCAAAATAGAAAGAATGGACAACTATTTTGAGACGGAGGGAGTATTTTTTTTCCCATTTTATTTTTTCCTCCTTTGCCTCCTCTTTCTTCTCAATGGCTTTCCGGTCGGTAGTGCTTGGGATTTAGGACTCTTGAGTTTTAAATGAAGATTTAGTTTTTGATATTATATATATATATAAAGTTTCAAATTTACCAAAAATTTTTAGTATTATGAATGGGTTAAATAAAGAATTACAAATTTGACGTATCCTTTGCCTGTCGTGATATGACCTACATGCCATGTTAGTCATAGTTAACTTACAAAAAAATATTTAAAAGTCAATATATTTCTTGATTATAGTTGATGCATTTGGATGTAGCTAGAGTTCCCTTGGAGCCTAGGCACGAGATGCACGCCTAAGTGATGTGAGGCGCACAAGTAAAAATTTAAAATAATTATTCTCAACAAAAAGAACACAATTAAACAATAAACATCCAGTAATAAAAATACTAAATATATCACAATTAAACCAATAAAGCAACCAACAAAATAACACAATTAAAATAATAAAGCTCCATTAAGAAAAACAGCAAATGGAAGATATTTAGTTTCAGTTTTGAGTCATAAAACCAAACAATCCTAACAAACCTAAAAAAATCAGCAAACAGCATGCAGGAAGATGCATTCAACATTTCAAATAATCTAGCAATTTCTAACAAACAACATTCAGCATAACTTAGCAAATTGCATTAAAAAAAAAAAAAAAAAAAAAAAAAAAAGGGAAATTTTAAAGTCATGCCATTAAGGCCCCCAACAGTAAAATGACATGAAAATGCAGTTGGCAGCACTCCGGAGCAAATGAGAACAAAGCAAATCAAGACATACTAAAAAGTTGTCTGGGTAATCCCTTTTCTTTTCTTTGTTTTATTCTTCTAGGGCTAGTTTGGTATCGTTGAATGAAATAAAGTGGGAATGGAATGAGAATGACCATCCTGTTTGGTTGCACAGAAAAACATCCTATTTTTGTAAAACCTATATATATATATATATATATATATATATATATATATATATAAATGTAGCCGACATTTCATCAAATGTTTTTTTTTGTTTTTTATTTTGAAGTGGGAATGTAATGGTCATTCCTTTAGTTAGAAAGTGGAATGAATTAGTGAGAATCACCATTCTCGGAGAATAGGCAAGAATCATCATTCCAACTTTAAAATTAGTTACCAAACTAAATAATGGAAACAAAAGCATTCCATTCTCGCTTTATTTGATTCCATTTCCTTCTTTTCCACTTTGGCCAATATGAGTTCACCTGGTACTAGCAGCTTTCTCGGGGAATTTCCCATCTTAGTAGGAGTTTTCCAAAGAAATAGCTTAGTAGCCACATTAGCAGCGATTGGGATGATTTTAGGCGCGGCATATTCCTTTTGGCTATATAATCGTGCGGTTCTGGGAATTTAAAACCCGATTTCCTCCACAAATTCTCTGATCCAAATGACAGAGAAGTTTCCATATTTATACCTTTTCTTGTTGGAGGGGCGACCGTCCGTTAAACTACCAAAGAAAAAAGGCCAATGTGATCATGACATTGTAGGTGCTTGCGATGGGACGGATGCAACTTCCCTCAGTCGGTTTGGGTGGCATAGCCCGTTGCGTCCCCACCCCCCCCCCCCCCCCCCCTCCTCTCTCTTTGATCTCTTTCTTTAGGGAGCCCAAAGCTTGACTTTACTAAAATCAGAAAAGAAGGCTTGCGCAGGGGCGCTCACATTTTTTGGCTGAGCCGTATCACAAGAAGACAAAGTTTATTGCAACAAACTACTTGGCTACTCCCTTTTCTTTTCTTTATTTTATTATTTTATTGCATAAGAAGACAAAGTTCACTGCAACTAACTACTCCCTTTTATTTCTTTCTCTGCTTTTGATCTTTCTTTATTTGTTTCACTCTCTCACGTTTCTATGTTGTATCCATCTTTATTTGATCATTACTTTTCTTTTCTTTATTTTATTCTTTTATTGCACAAGAAGACATATTTGCAAAAGCTCTTTTTTATTCCAGCACATGGAAAAAACTGAACAGAACAAACAAAAATAATAATTAAAAAACAATTTAAGAGGAAATAAGTCGCGCGCCTGAGTAAAAGTGTGAGGCGTGTCCTAGGCTCGCGCCTAACGAAGGTTGTTGTGCTTGGGCTATCATTAGGCGCAATTCATGCGCCTGTAGGCGCCTTTAATAATATTGTTCTAAAGTATATATGGATTCAATTATTTCATGATGTGACTCTTTATGTGTTTCAAAACACAAAATGACACATTTAGTAAACAAGTAAAAGCACGTGTGATGCACGTGAAATTTGGGGCTTAGATGTGCATTTAGGTTTCACTATATGTATAGTTTAAAATTTAAAAGAGATGATCTGGAGTGGTGAGAGTTAGGCGAGACATTGTTGGTGGTGTGTAACTTGTAGATGGTTTTTCAAGAAAGAAAAAGTTAAAAAAAGGAAAAATATTGAATTAAAGTGCATTATGTAAGGATTGGAGTAAGCGATAGGAAATATGTGCAGGTTTGGGGTGGACATGTGGGTATTTGGACTTTATCATGTTAGAAAAAGGGCAAAAATAGCTAAAAGAGAGAGTAGTGAAAATCCTAATATGAAAATTTACATATTTAGAAAGTGTAAAATGGCTGACTAAATGTCCATTTTCTTCCCCCCTATTTTTTTTTTTTTTTTTTCTTTTCCTCCTCTGCCTCCTCGTTTTTCTCTCTGTATTTCCTGTCTCGATCAATAAATGCTTGGGATTTGGGGCTCTTGAGTTTTAAATGAGCATTTAGCTTTCGAATATATAGAGTTTTAAATTTATGAAAATCTTTCAGTATTATGAATAAGACCTTTTTTAAAGAAAGATTAACGAATTTTATGTATTCATT